ATTGATCAGATCGCCACATTACGGATAATCATTGAACAAAGCTTGGAATGGCAGTCACCTCTCTATCTCAACTTCATCGACTTTGAAAAGGCCTTCGACAGCGTCAATCGAGAGGTGATTTGGCAACTACTTCGCTACTACGGGGTGCCACCAACAATTATACATCTCATCCAACAGCTGTACGACAATGCTGCATGCCAAGTAATCCACAACGGGAAACTTACGAAATCCTTCGAAGTGAGGACAGGAGTAAGACAAGGCTGCCTACTATCGCCAATGATTTTCCTGATTGCAGTAGATTGGATAATGCGACAAACAGCAGGCAGCGAAAAACAGGCATAAAACGGACTCACACAAAATACTTGGAGGATCTGAACTTCGCCGATGATATATGTCTGATTTCTCACAAACTGGAAGATATGCAAGCGAAAAGCAATAAGTTGGCAGAAGAAGGATCAAAGATAGGACTTCAGGTGAACATAGAGAAAACAGAGGTAATGAAGATTCCTGGACAAGAAAGCCACCAACAGCAACTACAACAACAGACAACAATCAGCATAAATTGAAGGAACCTGAAAGAAACAACCTCCTTTACCTACCCAACTGGGAAGCACCGTGGTAACTACAGGCGGAACTGACGAGGATATCAAAGCAAGAATCGGAAAAGCAAGACAAGCTTTCACTACTCTCAAGTCTGTGTGGAGGTCAACAACTCTCAGCATCAAAAATAAGATCCGGATTTTCAACTCCAATGTGAAGTCAGTGCTACTATACGGATCAGAGACTTGGCCAGCGCGTCATAAAGAGCATCTCAAACAAACTACAGACCTTCATTAACAGTTGTCTTCGCTCAATACTCAAGATCAGATGGCCAGAAAAGATCAGCAATAGAGATCTCTGGCAATGAGCGAACCAACTCAGCAGGAACTGGTTGTGAAACAAATAGGCAGGATGAAATGGAGATGGATTGGCCATACTGTGAGGAAACCATCAAGTGACGTCACTAGACAAACCCTCGAGTGGAACCTAAAAGGGAAGCGGCGAGTTGGTCGTCCTAGTGTGACTTGGAGGAGGTCATGTGAAGAGGAGATGAAAACGTGTGGGCAGACATGGAGCCAGGTGAAGACTCTAGCAGGGAACCGAACGCAATGGAGACGCACAGCTGAAGCCCTATGTTCCACTGGGAATTAAAGGAGACAATAATAATAATAACAGAAAAAATTGGGTGAATTGAATGATGATAAAGAGAGAAAATTCACACACACAGTGAACAAAAAAATTAAAAACTGGAGGCTGAAGGAACATACTGAAATAGGTCCACGGTATGGTAGAGGCTGGAATGATTTCATTTGACCACACAGATCTGGCATATAACTGGACATTTTGAGGGCTTCTGCGGTACAGAAAAGTCAATTGTATCTTAAAAGAATTTAAGAATTCTCATCCTGCGAATAAATTCACAATGAAATTAGAAAAAGATTCATGAATCACTCAATTTATGACATTAATTGTTTTGCCACTTGACACTCAACTGTGATTGTAATCACAAAGATTTTGTTTGTATTAAATACTGCTGTTATTATTTCATGTATTCACACCTTTGATTCAATACCCTCGACGGATATAATTTCTTGAAGAAAACCATATACATGCGATTGTACAGTTAGATAATGAACTTGTCGGAAAGAGTCCCTTCGCGGAATATAATAGGCGCCACGAAGGTCTTCTCATTTCCCAACAGTCTTCCCTATGTGAAGCAGATTTCAGATGGTGATAATGTGAATTGGTGAAAGTACTCTTACATTTTGGCTTACTAGAAGACTAATTAGACTGACTAGAATGCACTGAAAGCTGAATGAGCAAACTACACACTCAACTTAGTGTGATATCGATTTAGAAGAGAAAAACAAACGCAAATATTTCAACATAACAAGCAAACAAATAAACAAAGAAAAAACAACCTGACAAGAGAAACAATGGTTCACCTCAGTACCACATTGCTTAGTTTAGACAAAATAAACGTGACTTAACTAAAGACAATCAGATGAGAATAATTAAATAAACTTCAACACATGAGATACCACAGAATGTAGGTCAAGCAGATACAGACAAAGAAAAGAAGAAAACAAAATAATAATATTAGTTCATTAATAAAATATGAAGAACATTAGATAATAAATTTCAACATTTTTATGAAATTCTGTGGACTAGTTAAAGTTACAGCTAGAACGACACTTGTTTTTATTTTAATACCTGTGGACAATTGAATGCACTTTTCTTCGCATAAAATGCCATCAAGTTCCAAGCTGAGTATCCTCTGATTTCCATGGAATAATGGAAGGTGGCAGGTAGGTAAATCGGATTGTGTGGGTGCATGTATGTTTGGTATCTTACAGTTCAAATTGGAGGAAATAAGGCAGTTAACTGACCTTAACGATAAGTGCTGATACTCTGTCATGCTGTCGTGTTCGGTGGTATGAGGATGTTGGTGTGGGTGGGGAGTTGTGTTAGGAGGGAAAATTGATCTATGCAATTGTGAAACTGCATCAACTGAGATGGTCAGAATACGTGTTGAGTATGTCAAGATACCTTGTTTATCATGTAGCATTGGAATGGAAGAGACCTGGTTTGCAGTTGAAATTTTATGCCACAACATTCTATGAAGCCTTTGACAGTTCCATTTGAGCTGTGCAGTCAGGTGTAGACCACTTGAATATGGTCCTCAACATTTTACTGCCATCTGAGCAAGGACTTATCGAAGAAGCCTTCAAAATCCAATCAGGATTTTCTCCCTCTCTCTCTCTCTATATATATATATATATGTATATATGTAGATGAATACGTGTATGAAATTTTGGAGAATATATCATCGTGTCGTCATTATATAATAACTTCTTTTTAGCTCTTGATATTCTTTTAAAGTGTTTTACTGTTATTTTATGATAGTGCTTGTGATCCGGAGTCATCTATTCTACTTTAATTTAAAATTCTCTTTGATACTGATAAGAAGGATTGTAATGATGTCAAAGCATCACGTTTTTGAGTTGGCTTCATTGTCTAGTGTTAATTTTGTATTTTTTGTTCTGTTCATTCGAAAGCAGATTGAATCAAAACCAGCAATACACTCCAGTAAAGCAGGATTTAATGAATACACAGAATTTCAGTCGAATGCTTCCTCTGAATACTCTGCACATAGGGATACATATATTTTGTTGAATACAGCTTGATTCCACATCGTATTTTTTGGTACAGGTATGGAATTTACAGCATATGATATCGGTAGCCCGAATTTGCAGGCCGACCATAGATATCAGGTGTGCGCCGACAGGGTATTGAATCCCCAACCATTTGCATGGTCACCGAGATTCCTAACCACTGTGCCACCGGCGCACATTACATCGAGGAATGTAAGACGAAGAATTAAATAAACAAGTTTGAACTTATCATGCTGTGAGCTACAGGTGGAATAATTTTTGCAAGTCACGTGCAAAGTGATAACTGGAAAGTGATTTGAAGGGTTAAAATTAATAAAACTTTATATGACATTTTAATTGCATCATTCGAATGCACGATTATTGATCTGAGAACAAACGTGAATATATATCAAGTATTGCGAAATGATTAATAGTGTGATAAATGGTAATAATGACAGTGTTTGAACGAGTTAAGTTAATCCTACTGATATAAGACAATTTTTAATGAAACAGCACTAGTACTAACTATGAGAGATTGTTAATAATATCACTGTGACTGGTTGATAAGTAAAGCATGACAGGATCAAAATGACCACCATTTCTTCTTGTACACAGAGATCGGGTTTACAATTCTAATTTCACAAGCGAGCATCTTCCTGTTAATTTGTCTGCTGACATTTGTGAACTACTTTATGAAGTAGGTGTCATGTCCTCAGTCTACAAGATTCTTTCTTAATAAACAGTTCGGTACTTTGAATTCAGCCGTATATACATAACTTGGTTAACGCTCATTCATTCGAGCAACCGATTGCCTTTTCGTACGACCAACGCATTTGCTACAACATACACGTTCAAAATGATACACGCCACTTTTAGTGTCGAGGATTGACGATCATGACTTCTAAGATTGCAGCAGCACCCATTTAAGGATGTCGAGTAACGCGAATTCTGTGGCATTGTAGGTTCTCCTGAGGGCCTCATCAAGTCTTCGTTGGACCATATCCTGTGCATCATCTGATTTCAAAGGCACATTGATGTACACAGCTACTTTGGATTATATTTGGATAATTTTAACAAGGCTTTTTCCTTTAGGATATTCGTTGACGGACTAATTGTAGTTTGCATTCGAAGATAAATTATCCATTAGAGACTTCATTATATATACAAGTGTACTGCCAGGTCGAATTTCTGCTTATATCAGATTGATATTATATTCCTTGTGTTTTGTTGTGAAGTTAAGGTCATGATGTCATGGATTTACTTTTACTCATAAGTATTCCGCATTCGATTTGCTTTTATAGATAATCGAAATAGCATCTGCTAATCTTAGATTGATACCGTTTGTCGTATTTGCTGTCTCATAATACCGCCGTCTAGGGAGTAAATGATTTGGTGAAGTTGAGGTGCCGATTTCCAACCGCTGTCCTAGGAGCGACCATTTTAACGAACATATTAAGTTTAGTTTACATCCTCTAATATAGTATATGTCTTTGCGTAGAGACCGTCTGAGACCTACGCGAAAAAATCTTCGTCGTCTAAAGAAATTGCACGCACACTCAAACATTTAAGACTACGTTATAAATTATTTAAATTAATCCCAGCGTGTTAAGAAAATCAAAACAAGATTTTTCTGAACGTTTCGCTGTGTAAGCCACAGCTTCTTCAGCAGATTTATTCGGATTTTAATAATCATCAAAATATATAGTCAAAAATTTTTTTACATACATTACAGTCAGTTTGTCTGAAGGTCATTTGTCTATGGACATTTTTACCAATAGAAAATATGTAAGCAGTCATCATATATTTTGTAATGACTAATGTCAAGTTGATGTTGTGTTCATTCTTGTATGGTTAATTTGTATAGATTAGTTTTGTATGAGTGTGTGTGTGTGTATGTATGTTATTTGTCATATGGAAAATACGTGAATTCATATTTGATAAACATGTTTTAAAAGGTCATGGAGGCTCATAGAGTGCTGATTGATTTTTTCATTTGTCTTGCTTCATAAGAGTTTGCCATATAGGTGATAAGTCTATCCCATCCTTCCTATTCACTGCATTCGATGTGGTTAAGATGTGCAAGGCTTCAGAAGTCAATCTTTCTTTATGTGAATGAAATCCTCTTCCAAGAATTTCGACATTGTCGAAATCAATCTTATGTCCGCTTTCTATAGCATGCATTGCTATAGCCGATCTTTTTTCCAGACTTTTTAGTTCCACTTCATTTCTAGGTGGACGTTTCGTGCATAGTCTATGTTCATTCACTCTGACCTTCATCTGCCTACTGCTCTCCCCTATATAGCATGCATCACATTCGGAACACTTTATCTTGTAGACACAATTACTTTGTGCCATTCTGGGAACTATATCCTTGACATGTACTAACGCCTTCTCTAGAGAGTTAGAAGGTTTGACATAGACTTTAATATTATATGAAGCAAATAATCTTTGAAGTTGTTCAGCTGTGTCCTTTCGGTATGGGATGGCTATCGTGGATAGCCAGGATTTTTCAATTTTTGGTTTTCCCTTATGCTCCTTTCTATTGATAATATTATCAAGTAGCTTTTCAGGATAACCATTTCCAATCAAAACCTGTTTTATGTTGGATATCTCGTTCTCCATGTCGTCATTATCTGTTATAATGTTTCTAGCTCTGTTAACGAGATTTAAAGCTACTGAAACTTTCATTCCTATTGGATGATCTGATTGAAAATTCAAATACTTGTTGGAATGTGTCGGCTTTCTGTATATGGTAAACTTTAGCTTCTCGTCAGTCTGTCTTTTTACAAGACAATCCAGAAAGTTTATAGTTCCCTCAGCCGATTCTATTTCATTAGTAAATTCAATATATTCTGAGATTAAGTTGATTTCTGTTAGAAAGTTTTCTTTTTCAGCTTTCTTTATGATGATAAAAGTGTCGTCTACATATCTGTACCATATTCTAGGATGACAACTAAAACTTGTCAATGCTTTCTTTTCTAGAGCTTTCATATAAAGGTTAGCTACAATTGGAGATGCTGGTGAGCCCATTGCAACTCCATTTGTTTGACAGTATAGTTTATCTTTAAAGGTAAAATAGGTAGATTCCAAACAAAGTTTTAAACATTTTATAACTTCATCTATTGATAATAAAGATTTACTTAATACTTCTTGATTGTTTTCAAGTTCATATTTCATAATATCAAGTGAATCACAAATCGGAATACTAGTAAATAAAGAAACCACATCAAAACTTGCCATAATTTCGTCTCCTTCAATAATTATGTCCATTACTTTCCTTTTAAATTCCTCAATATTTTTGATGTTCGAAGGAATATTGTATTGAAGTGGTTTCAGTATTCTTGATATGTATTTTGATAAAGTATATGTTACTGAATTGGTAAAATCAATTATTGGTCTTAAAGGAACATCTACTTTATGTATTTTCGGTCTTCCATAAAATCTGGCGTATGCAACTTATCAGATAGAGAACTTAATGTACATGAAACAGCATTACTTGAAAAAGGTCTAAACTTCAACATAACTCGAAAACCACTGACAGCGATAGAATTAGCTCCCATCATGGAACCTACATTAAATCTTTTAACAGATGATGAAGCTAATGAATTACGTCAGAAGGTTGGATGTATCCTGTCGAATCAAAAGCAGGGCATTTCAAATTTATCGAAGGCCGAACGTCATGCATTAAAAACATTAAGATCAGATAAATCTATTGTTATAACTAAAGCTGACAAAGTCAATATCACAGTAATTCTTAATACAGAGGACTATGACAAAAAAGCCATGGAGCATATCGAAGCAGGGCCTTACACATTAGTACCAGTAAACAAAATGTCTAGTACAATGAACAAAGTAAAAGCCCAAGTATGCAATATACTTAGAGAATTGAAACCAAAACTAGGGAACTCAGTTTGGTTTTCAATAGCTCCCAAGAGAAACACGGCTGCCAGATTTTATGGAAGACCGAAAATACATAAAGTAGATGTTCCTTTAAGACCAATAATTGATTTTACCAATTCAGTAACATATACTTTATCAAAATACATATCAAGAATACTGAAACCACTTCAATACAATATTCCTTCGAACATCAAAAATATTGAGGAATTTAAAAGGAAAGTAATGGACATAATTATTGAAGGAGACGAAATTATGGCAAGTTTTGATGTGGTTTCTTTATTTACTAGTATTCCGATTTGTGATTCACTTGATATTATGAAATATGAACTTGAAAACAATCAAGAAGTATTAAGTAAATCATTATTATCAATAGATGAAGTTATAAAATGTTTAAAACTTTGTTTGGAATCTACCTATTTTACCTTTAAAGATAAACTATACTGTCAAACAAATGGAGTTGCAATGGGCTCACCAGCATCTCCAATTGTAGCTAACCTTTATATGAAAGCTCTAGAAAAGAAAGCATTGACAAGTTTTAGTTGTCATCCTAGAATATGGTACAGATATGTAGACGACACTTTTATCATCATAAAGAAAGCTGAAAAAGAAAACTTTCTAACAGAAATCAACTTAATCTCAGAATATATTGAATTTACTAATGAAATAGAATCGGCTGAGGGAACTATAAACTTTCTGGATTGTCTTGTAAAAAGACAGACTGACGAGAAGCTAAAGTTTACCATATACAGAAAGCCGACACATTCCAACAAGTATTTGAATTTTCAATCAGATCATCCAATAGGAATGAAAGTTTCAGTAGCTTTAAATCTCGTTAACAGAGCTAGAAACATTATAACAGATAATGACGACATGGAGAACGAGATATCCAACATAAAACAGGTTTTGATTGGAAATGGTTATCCTGAAAAGCTACTTGATAATATTATCAATAGAAAGGAGCATAAGGGAAAACCAAAAATTGAAAAATCCTGGCTATCCACGATAGCCATCCCATACCGAAAGGACACAGCTGAACAACTTCAAAGATTATTTGCTTCATATAATATTAAAGTCTATGTCAAACCTTCTAACTCTCTAGAGAAGGCGTTAGTACATGTCAAGGATATAGTTCCCAGAATGGCACAAAGTAATTGTGTCTACAAGATAAAGTGTTCCGAATGTGATGCATGCTATATAGGGGAGAGCAGTAGGCAGATGAAGGTCAGAGTGAATGAACATAGACTATGCACGAAACGTCCACCTAGAAATGAAGTGGAACTAAAAAGTCTGGAAAAAAGATCGGCTATAGCAATGCATGCTATAGAAAGCGGACATAAGATTGATTTCGACAATGTCGAAATTCTTGGAAGAGGATTTCATTCACATAAAGAAAGATTGACTTCTGAAGCCTTGCACATCTTAACCACATCGAATGCAGTGAATAGGAAGGATGGGATAGACTTATCACCTATATGGCAAACTCTTATGAAGCAAGACAAATGAAAAAATCAATCAGCACTCTATGAGCCTCCATGACCTTTTAAAACATGTTTATCAAATATGAATTCACGTATTTTCCATATGACAAATAACATACATACACACACACACACTCATACAAAACTAATCTATACAAATTAACCATACAAGAATGAACACAACATCAACTTGACATTAGTCATTACAAAATATATGATGACTGCTTACATATTTTCTATTGGTAAAAATGTCCATAGACAAATGACCTTCAGACAAACTGACTGTAATGTATGTAAAAAATTTTTGACTATATATTTTGATGATTATTAAAATCCGAATAAATCTGCTGAAGAAGCTGTGGCTTACACAGCGAAACGTTCAGAAAAATCTTGTTTTGATTTTCTTAACACGCTGGGATTAATTTAAATAATTTATAATGAATCAATCTGACTCGGCGCTCAAATTATTTCAGGAAGTTCGTAACACCTACGGCCTGGAAACCTATAATTTAAGACTACGGTTTAAATGAATTTAACTCAGTGCTCAATCTTGTTTGATAGACTGCTTTAGAAACATTAGTGAAAGCAAATTTATGACCGGCACCGCGATATGCTTAGTGATTTATTGTGCTGTGTTTTTCTTCAGAAGTTCATTTGAACCAGGTGAATTTATTTCTCCTTTCGGCTACCTGAGATTGTGTTCTGTGGGCCGCCTATTTTCCACAGACCTATGATTCCTTAATGTAATTGGAAAACATGGCACTTTGTTGTGTGTAATTACATATGATCTAATTTTATTTTAAATATCACAGTGTGATGTAGTATTAAAAAGTCATTTAGTTTGTCTACGGAAGCTTTGTTTATCGATATATCCCCGCACACCTGCAATATGAATGATGAAAGGCTATACCGGAAATATCGAAAGACTTAAATAGAAATCGGAGAAACAGAAGGAGAGAAAATACATATAAGACAAGTTGTGAAACCGGAGTTTCACATCCATGATACACATCAGCAGTCTACATGGGAAGGATAATACCCAAATTTTAATAGTTTTTATCCAAATAGCTTTAAATGAGCACTAGTCAAGACTCTATACTAAAGAGGTAGGAGATTATGCTCCACAGAGAGATAAGAAGAAAACTTTTTGTTTTTCGAAAAGATGTGGAAAAGCGATGGTTACTCTCAAAGGTTCATTAACAAGTACGGAATGTCTGAATACTCAAATGTCAAACAAATCACAGGAGCAAAATAGCACACCTAAATTCAGCTTGACTTTGTAGGTGAAAATATGACAGCAACTGTCAGCTGAAGATTGAGAATGTCCCGCAACCAAGCTAATTCTCGTCTATCGAACAACTTGCCCCTTGGAGCAATCTAAAATCGACAGATATCTTTCTCTTGTTAACTGAAACTATATACACAAATTAACGTGTATGTGTGGGAGCAGTTACATTGGAGAAACAGATAGAAGCTCAAACCTCCGATCTTCTGAACACGTACCAAAGATCCTGTCTAAAAAGAACAAATGTTTTGAAGTGTGCCGCAGCCAGGCATCTCCTTGACACGGGTCATGTGGTGGGATACACAAGACAGTTCAAGATAATCATAAGGCGAAAGAGTTTAGTCATTCTTTTAAGTTTGCCGAAGCAATCTGCACCAAACACCCGAAACCCAATTTATGTGTTCCGAAAGAAGTAGTTATCAGTCTTTCGTTGTCCTGGTAACTGAATATTTTCACCCTAGCGTTCGTTTGATTACGTGTTGCCGAAAGTTAACATTAATTATGATCATTATTGTTCGAGACAAGGTGTTCATTATTATGTATATGATTATTTTATGCGTTTATTGGTTTATTATTTTTAGCTTGAAAATCCTCATTGAGTAGTATGAAAAAAGAGATGTTCAGCGGAGAGACTCTTTTCGGCGAATTCATTCACATAGCTGTACAATCGCATTTATATATAATTATTTGTGTGTGTGAACATGAGATTTGTCAGGTTTAGATAATTGATCAGGTAATACAAGAATGATCTAATATAGAAACAAAGTTAATCAGACAGCAACTGAAGTAAGACTGAGTTAGTAAGTTAGATGACGTATTATAATTCACTAAAATGTTTCAACTTAGGTAGAGAATAATGCCATTTAAATTAGAAGTGAAATTGAGCAAATAAGTTGGATGACGTAACATAAATAACTAGAAATTGAGCGTTTTTCAAGTCACTAGCAGTGGTATTGAGGTGATAAAAGGATAAAACTTGGTCACTGTAGTGTTGTACAACTGCATTATTGATACAATTTTTTTCGATAAAATCACACGTTGTTTTACAGTCCTATTTGACATTTCGAGCACAAATTACTGCTCATATTCGTATCAATGTATGACATGATTTTGATATGATATTAATAATATTATGAGCAATAATGTGTAGTTGAAACGAGAAATATTACTGTATAACACTTTATCGGTATTGATTGATTTTTGCTTAAAAATGAACTTTGTGCAATTGTCTCTTTAAATATACAAAATAATGACTTTGAGCTTTAAGCAGCTGATGAAAAGCCAACGGAATGGATGCTGTTAACACTTTATTCTGTGAAAACTGTTGTTCTTGTTTCCACCTGCGTAATATCTACTGGTTAATTCACTATGTACACTATGAGTTAATCATGATAATTCGCCTTTGGAGATTACAGGAGTTTTAGCTTAGATAAAACACCCTGTGTAATCAAGTAAAATGAACATACATAATCAGTAAAACAATTATTAAATGAAATCCTTGTTGAACTGAAAGTTTCCAGCGGATTTTTAATTTGACTTTTCATCCATAATGTTTCGCAAATTTTGGCGGAGTGCTTGCC